TAACACGATTCCTAAACAAAACAAGTTCAGCACAGACAATTATATGGAACAAAGAAATCAACACCACAAAAAAGCACATAACAAAAATGACAGCAACAAATTCATACTTATCGATAACTCCATATGAGGCAAGGGACTTATCTCTAAGATTTATAGAAAGCTTCAACACCTTAACAACAAAGGAATTAACAATACAATTGAAAAATGGGCAGAAGACATGAATAGACACTTCACCAAGGAGGATATTCAGGCGGCCAGCAAACACATGAAGAGATGCTCACCATCACTGGCCACCGGAGAGATGCATATCAAAACAAGAGTGAGATACCATCTCACCCCAGCACTGATGGCAAGGTTGAACGAGACAGAAAATAACAAATGCTGGCAGGGATGTGGAGAGTTTGGGACTCTCATACACTGCTGGTGGGACTGTGAAGTGATACAACCACTGGGGAAAGCAGTATGGCAATTACTTAGAAAGCTACAATTTGAGATACCATTTGACTCAGCAATTCCATCACTAGGTATATATCCTAGAGAGGTGAGAGCCAGGACAGGAACAGATATATGCACACCCATGTCCATTGCAGAACTATTTACAATAACAAGAAGATGTAAACAACCTATGTGCCCATCGACGGAAGAGTGGATGACCAAACTATGGTACATACACACAATGGAATGCTATGTAGCACTAAAGAATAATATAGAGTCTGCCAAACACCACATAACAGAGATGAACTTGGTGGACATTATGCTGAGTGAAATAATTCAATCACAGAATTACAAATATAGTATTTGTTGTTGCAGAGGGTCAAAGAAAGGTTTATATATGGAGGGAAACTTTGTTGGTTGCCAGACATGGGAGGGAACACTGCAAAAAAAAAAAATAAAAAAAAATAATGCATTGATTCATGTCACTTTAGTTTTGTGTATTTCACTGTACATAAATTATATTTAATAAAATGCATTAAAAAAAAGTTTTCAGTTAAAATTGAATTTCATCAAAGAAGTCGATCGTAGGGTTGCCAGATAAAATACAGGATGAAATCTGAATTTCTGATAGACAATGGATAATTTTTTTTGTGTGTGCATCTTTTTTTTTTTTAAATTTGTTGTGATTTTGTGATTTGGGTGAAAGTTTACAGAGCAAAATTCATTTTCCATACAGCAGTTCACATATACTTTGTCTCATGACATTGACAGCAATCTCCCACAATGCAACATAATTTTTTAATATAAACTAATTATGTCCCAAGTATTGTGTGGGACTGATACTAAAAAATTATTCATTGTTTATCTGAAATTCAAACTTGACTGGCTTCCTGCATTTTTATTTGCTTAATTTGGATTTCATTTTACAGAAATCCACACTGCAGCTAATCTCCATGGAAACCTTTAAAGTGATAGCACTCTTAAGTCTCTCTTTCTCTCTCTCCCTCTCTCTTACACACACACACACACACACATCAGCACATCTGACTACAAAACTCAGGTTTTAATTCTGCCTTTAATATGACTCATGTTACTTTGAGGACCTTCTGGTCAAACTTATATTTGCAGTTATAACCACCATTGGCTAGTTTTATTTATGTAACAGTTGAGGTTTCATATATGATAATGATCTTCAATTTGATCAGAAGTATTAGAAGCCATGTCTCTTGTAGTATTTGGCTCGTGCAAGGACATCATTGCAGAAGTCACAGCTCAGGTCCTGGCTACTTCTGACATAGCCAACACCTCCATTGTAAGAACAGAGGCCACCTGAAATTAAAGTGATGGTTATTACTATAGTATAGTTGACCTAATAACTCCTTACTGTTTTAGGGTATTCAGCAGTTAATTCAGTCTTTCTTGATTGTCTATTGGGAAGTAACTGTGGTTTCAGGAATCTGGTGGAATGTATTACAATTGTACCTGTTAATTCCAAAGGAGGTCTGGTGGTGCAGTGCCCAAGGCATTTGACTGCTAACCAAAAGGTTGGTGGTTCAAACCCACCAGCCACTTCACAGAAGCAAGACTGGTCAATCTACTTCTATAAAGATTTACTGCCTTGGAAACCCAAGGGGGTCGCTATGAATTGGAATTGACTCAATGGCAGTGGTTTTGGTTTGGTTTTGGTTTATTAATTCTGCACTGTGAAACAATTGGCCAGATGGCATTGCACATACCTCTCAGATACTGATCTGGGGTCCAGGTTGGAAACCTTCTTTGGATTTCTTTGATTCTAATAGTCAGAACCTCAGTCATCTTGGCAACCTGGGACTCACTGATCCAGGATGTGGGAGCAAAATGGCCAGGGTCCTAGAGAGAGAGAGAGAGAGGCAGAGGAGAAGCCAGGTGGGAGAGTGATGTGACATTTTTATGTCCCTTCTCCTTTTCTAGGAGCTCTGGTGGTGTAGTGCCTAAGGCATTTGACTGCTAACCAGAAGGCTGGCAGGTCAAACCCACCAGCCACTCCTCAGAAGAAAGATTGGACAATCTACTTCCGTTCTTTGAGGAACCAATGCCACTTTCAATCTCTCTGCAGATAAATAGTAAAGCTACAGGGTTTGGGCAAAGAAAGAGATCTTCATATTGGAGTCCCTGGGTGCTGCAAATGGCTAACACACTTGACTGCTAACCAAAAGGTTGGTGGTTCAAGTCCACCCAGAGTGCCTTGAAAGAAAGGCCTTGCAATCTACTTCCAAAAAAATCAGCCATTAACAACTGTATGGAACAGAGTTCTAATCTGATACACATGGGGTCACCATTAGTCAACTTGAAGGCAAGTCAGTTGGTTTTGGTTTTGTAGTGTAATGGTGAGAAGTAGAGTTGGAAGACAAAGATCACAGAGTTCGCCTGGGTATAGCCTAATTCCTTCCTTCAATGCAGCAAACACAAACCCCCCAAACAGCTTAGAAAGGGTTTTTTTTCTTTTTCCTGTCTATACTTGAAATTTCCTTCCAGACAATCTGAATGTCTTAAGGTACTTTTAACCTTTCTTATATCCTTTTGTTTAAGGAGCCCTGGTGGTGCAGTGGTTAAGCACTTGGCTGCTAACCAAAAGGCTGGTGGTTTGAACCCACTAGCCTCTCCATGAGAAAAAGTTGCAGCAGTCTGCTTCCAAAGATTACAGCCTTGGAAACCCTGTGGGGCAACTGGATAGGGGTGCTATGAGTGGGAATCTACTCCACAGAAACAGATTTTTTTTGGTTATACACCTGCGATTACCAGTTCCACATAAATTTCACCATTATTTAGGGAAAATGTCTGAACCTTCACTTACTTCATTTTCAAAGGAGGTGGCCTTGTCTTTTTCCCAAAAATCAGATTTTACAAAGGAAGCAGAACAGTTCAGAGGAAACATTGCTTGCCTTAACATTACAAGATACTGTTCTTAGTCCCAAGGAGCTCTGGTGGTATAGTGGATAAAGTATTTGGTTGCTAAGCAGAAGGTCAGCAGTTCAAACCCACCAGCTACTCTGTGGAAGAAAGATGGGGCAATTTACTTCTGTAAAGATTTACAGACTTAGAAACCCAGTGGGGGTTGCTAGGAGTCAGAATTGACTCAATGGCAGTGAGTATGGTTTTTTCCTGTTTTTTGGTTCTTGGTCCCAGTACTGCCTTTCCCAGCTACCATGTGACTGTGTAGTAGTGATTCCACCTTGTGAATCCATTTCCTCACTTGCAAAGGATGGAATACCTGCCCTACCTCTCAACAAATTATTGGCTGTATCCCCAAATTGAATAAGATAAAACATTTGGAAATACTTTTAAAATGTAAAATGTCGTACAAAGTATTAACGCAAAGCCAATTCAAAGATCATTAAAGGAGTAAATATTCCTAAAACCTTAAAAAGATGATTGAAATACTTAGTTTTATCAACAGCTATGTGAAATGCTTTACAAAAAAATCATTGCCTCATTGTCACCCTGGCACCCACCCTCTGACTCCCCCAAGCGCAGAGTCAATCCAACTGTCAGTCTCCATCAGACAACAAATGAGACCAGGCAGAATTAGTGCAAAAATAAAGCTCAAACTCCAGAACTAAGAATGATGTAGAAAAGAGACAAGAGAAAAGGAATTTAATATTTGTCAAGACTCTATCAGTTTCCAAGTAGTTTTCTACATTATTTCATTTAATCGTAACAATTCTATAAGGATGGCATTTTACAATGAGGAAACTGAGTCTTCGTGAGATTAAATGACATATCCAAGGTCAGACAGCTACAAAATAACAGTTGTTGTTATTGTTGTTATGTGTCACTGGGTCGGACCTGACTCATAGCAACCCCTCCTTGGGTTTCCGAGGCGGTATCATTACAGAAGTAGATTGCCCAACACCAAAACCTGGGCTCTTTCTCCTGCTCCATTGCCTCACTGGAAATCTAGAGTACTGATGGTAGAGTGAATTACTTGGTATGGCTTTTCTAGCCATAGTCTTTATAACTCCCACCAGATTACTGGGTAGGACCATGTAAATAAGGTGTGTAGAACATTGATGTTGGGATTGGTTAGTTTTGTGACTCCGCCAGGCTTAAAGTGAGCCTTCCTAGGGACAGAGGGGGTATCTCACTGCCACCAAGAGAGAAGAGCTGGAGGTGAAGTGGAGTGCATCCTTGGACCTGAGATCACTGTGGTGGACCTCCTTGGCTGAGAGATGCCCCAGCAGAGAGATGTCCTGGCAGAGAGATGCCCAGGCTGAGAGATGGCAGCAGTGGAACCAAGGGGCATGAGACAGAGTGGTGGGCTTACCTGGTCCACAGAGAGAGAAAGCTGAGTGCCCTTGGGCAGGAGGTTTGCTGGTAGAGTGGGGTGCACCTAGGTATACCTATCGGCAGAGCTAAAAGAGCTTTGTAACACTTGCCCAAGCAGGGCAGAGGCCAGACCGAGAGGCCAAAGGCCAGAGAGGCAAGCCTGAGGGCATAGCAGAGGGGAAACTGTCCTGATCGAAGAACTGTATCCTGAGCATATTCTAAAACCTGAATAGTAACCTATTACTCCCCTAATAAACCCCGTAATTGTGAGTGTTATCTGTGAGTTCTGTGTGGCCATTGCAATGAATTATCGAACCCTGCAGAGAAGTAGTGAGTGCCGTGAGAGGGACAGTTGGTGTTGGAATTGGTACAAAGCTGGAGGGTGGTGGCATGTTAGGAATAATAAGCCTTGGTGATTCTGTCTGCCTCTTGTGAAGTTGCAGGAGGTCAGAAGACGCTGCCTCCCTGCCCTTTTTTCCAGGTCCCATTGATAATATACTGGAAACACAGCATCGTTTACTTGGAAAAGGAATTGTGGCTCAAAATGAACAAGAATTATTAGTGCTCTTATCTCTAAGGTAGAGCAGTGCCTCTCAAAGAAAAAAAAAAAAAGACAATAACCCATTGCCATCAAGTCAATTTCAACTCATGGTGACCCCATGTGTTACAGAGTACAACTTAGCTTCATAAGGCTTTTTTGGTTATAATGTTTATGGAAGCAGATTGCCAGGTTTTTCTTCCGTGGTGCCTCTGGGTGGGTACAAATCACCAAGCTTTAGGTTAGTAGTCAAGTACAAACTTCTTGTACCATCCAGGGACATTTCTCACAACTATTCACTCTGTGTTATATGGAACTGTGTTTCAGAGGTGCCATAAACACAAAACTAAAAAAAAAAAAAAAAAGTGGGGACAGTGTCCCATTGGAATTGTGCCAGGCAGAGATAGCTGACAAAGAGTTACCTGCACCACTTGGATTCCATGAGCCGCATTCCCCGCATTGACCAGAACGTTGCCTCCATGAGACTGCCTGGACAAGATGGCTGCAATGACTGCAGGATCCACGCAGTATTTCTGGCCAACAGTTCGCATAATGGGTTGATATCTCACTAACTGTGGCATGTCTATTTCAGCCAGTCTTTCAGAAGCATGCACTCCTAAAGCAAAATAAAATAAAATAAAGAGGGTTTTATTTTTTTAATAAACAGCTTTACCCCTGCTTGTCTGATATAGGGTGGTGGGACTTACTGCCGTGGGAGCCCAAGGAGGCAAGAACACTCCAAGGATCTAGGTGGAAAGGTCTAGGATTGAGAAGCCAAGTTTCAGAATCAAATCCCTGGTGGCAAACTGTACATGTGAAAAAGTTTTGGGAGTTGGGGGAAATCCTAGTGATCACTCTCTGATCTGGGATTGTGGCTCTTCCTGTGTATTTGAGTGAGTTTGTCCCCTGAGGCAGGCACCCCTGGGGCTGCCTCATATGACAGTGCCCCTCTGTTGGGTCTCTCCAGGACAATCCCATGGGCATGGATGTAAGCACCTCAGACAGGATTACACAGTAAAATGTGCTTGTCCATCAGCAACAATGCTCACAAGAAGTAAAGAAAAAATCCTCCCCAAATTCTTTAATGGCTCTTTGGAGAGTTTCCCTAGACAGATTTGCTCACCCAGAAATCATGCTTAGGATATTTTGTGAGCCTAAAGGTTTATGAAATAACAAGAATGCTGTAACAAAAAGAAAATGAAAGCCCCCCCCCATATCAAACCCACTGCCACTGAGTCAATTCCAACTCATAGCAACTCCCATAAGGCTTCCAAGGCTGTAAATCTTTATGGAGGCCGAATGCCTCATCTTTCTCCTGTGGAGCAGCTGGTGAGTTCAAACCACTGACTTTTTGGTTAGCAGTCAAATGCCTTATCAAAGTGTCACCTGAAAAAAATGAAAAATAATAATTTACCTGGTTGGAATTGACTCGATGGCAGTGGGTTTGGTTTTTAGTTAATCATTTACTTTCTAGACACTTTTTCAATTTAAAAAGCACACTCAAGAGCAAGTTGTTGCACCCATGGGCTTGGGACCATGGTCACAGGGGACATCAAGCTCAACTGGCGTAATATATGACACAAAACATTATTCTACATCCTACTTTGGTAAGTAGTGACTGGGGTCTTAAAAGCTTGCAAATGACCATCTAAGATGCAACATTTGGTTTCTCCTTGTCCGGAGCAAAGAAGAATGAAGAAAACCAAAGATACCTGGAAACAATTAGTCCAAGGGACTAGTGGCCCATGGGAACCTCAGCCTACGACCATGAGACCAGAAGAACTAGATGGTGACCCACTACCACTGTCAACCATTCCCAAAGGCATCAGTACAGGAGATCCTGACTAAAGTGGGGAAAAATATGTGAAACAAAATTCAAAATCATAAAAAAAAAAAAAAAAACGTCTTATTAGTCTGATAGATACTGGTGAAATCCCCAAGTTTATGGCTCCTAGTCACCCTTCAGGACTGGAATTGAACTCATTTCCATGGCTTCTAGCCAAACAATAGACAGGCATATAAGTTGAACATTTACACCAGGTAGGTATAATGTCCTTGGAACAATCAACCAGGGGAGAGCAGAAGGGCAGTATTTGCCAGGGAGATAGCTCAGAGGGCAGGAAGGCATAGGAAAGAAGGACACAGGGAAAAGGTAACCACAGGGAGGAAGTGGGAAGAGAGCTGTTACATTATGGGGATTGCAAGCAATGTCATGAAACAAATGTGTATGAATTGCTGTGTGGAAAATGATTTTGCTCTGTAAACTTTCACCCAAATCACAATTAAAAAAAGGAAAAAGGAGACAAACTACATAAATAAATAAAAAGCATCCTCATTTACATTATATACATCAGAGTTTATAAGACACTAGGTAAATACTATTATCTCCCTTTGAAAGGAGGGTCAGACTTAAAGACTTTAAGAAGCAGAGCCAGGATTCAAACAAAGCCTTTGGATACCACACCTCAGTGCTCTTTCACCCACCCACAGCTTGAGGTCATGGGAGACAGTGGGAACCACTAGGATAAACTGAGAGGATCAAGAGTCGTGGGAAGTTGAGAGAAGTATAGGGATGGAGTACAAACAGAAGGGGGAAAAATCCCATTGAAGCCACTCTAGCCAGTAGGAGTCTGCCTTCTGAGAGAAAGAAAGAAGAGGAGGACAAATGTGGGCCAGGAAATTATAACTACCACAGTAGTTGAGGCCTCGTGGTCTTCCAACCCCACAAGATGCTCCAGGAGTTTCGATGGTTCGGATATTTCCATAGCATCCCCAATTGCTACTTTCACATAAGGCTGGAAATTGAGAAAATTTCAACATAGGCATTAAACTAAAATAGTTCTGATCATCCTTCTGTCCATGAGTCAAGTGGTATTAATAAAAATAACTCTAATTAAGAAAACAGCAACAAGAACTTTACAATTGAAATATCTTTTTTATTTTTTATTTACAATCTACTGACAAAGAAATTTTTGCTTCCTATCTTGTGCACATAAGGAATGGCTGGCCAGTTATAACTCTTCATAAAACTCTGTGACTGCCTAATACTTCTGGCTGGTTTCTTGGAATCATATCAGAGTTTATCTGTTCCCTGTAAACTAGTCCCCATCTTATATTTATATGAACTCTAAACACTTGTTTCTCAAATACTTTTAACTTGTTGGTATGGTGAGACATTTATGTTTCCTCTGGAGGAATTGAATAAAGCCTGGGCCTCTCTGGAATTTCAACCTGGACCCAATGGGAAGACACTGCTCATAAACTGGTACCTGGAATTGGCTTCACCTTCTCTGAGGCACTGTTTCCATGGGTGCCAAAGGCTGCTCCCTGATTCCTTTGACGTTAGTTTTCTGTCTGAATTATGTTAGTCTTATTATGGTAAACCATCTTAATACCTTCTGTGGAGATACATGGTGTATAAATAAATTCAATAAATAAGATAGCGGAAACTACTTTTGGTGAATGAGTTTTTATAGTGGAACAATGTACAGTTATCAATTATATATATTTAAAGTTCAGCCTCAAGCAAACTTTTTAAGCCCATGTGTTCTGGAGGAGCACCCCCTCCCCCTTTTGTGGGGCAACAGGGAGTTGCTTGTGAGTGGCTGTTACTAACTCCTGGATTTGTTGGACAGCTTAGGAGAAAAACATTTTCAACTGCAGTTTCAAGTACCAGAAATACCATTATGTTCTTATGCTTACACTCTCCACCTCCAAGGTCATTTGGAAAAAATGAAACACTTACCAGTAAGGGCAAGGAGGCCCAGAAGCAGCCACAATGGAGACATACTGATGATTGGGCTCTGCAGGTCCTGAAATGATTCTAAAATAAGTTAGCTTGAAGATTTGGAAATGTCAGTAGTTGTCATAACCATGTACACTGTTTCTATGGAAAGGAAAAGGAGGTGGGGAAGGAACCAACCAGCCACTCCTCAGAAGGAAGATGGGGCAATCCACTTCCGTAGTGATACTGCCTCGGAAACCCAAGGAGGGGTCGCTATGAGTCAGGTCCGACTCGATGGCACATAACAACAACAACAAACTAAAAAATTATTTGAATCATAATAACAAAGCAAACATGGGACGTGCTCCAATTATTCTTTCAATTAGCTTAAAAATGACCAATTCCTGCTTGGCTCACAGGTGCTCAAGGCATCATCAAGTTGTTGTTGTTAGTTACCATGGAGTCAGAACTGACTCATGGCGACCCCATGCACAAGAGAATCAGACTGCTGTGATCCACAGGGTTTTCACTGTCTGATTTTCAGCAGTAGATAACCACGTTCACCTGGAAGCTCTGCTGAAATCTATTCAGCACCATAGCAACCCATCAAGTCTCCACTGACAGACAGGTAGTGGCTGTGCATGAGGTGCTTTGATCAAGAATGAAACCTAGAAATTGAAACCTGGTCTCCTATATGGAAGGTGAGAATTCTACCAGTGAACCACCAATGTCCTCACCTTCAAGCTCCTGGGTACCAATTATGTTAAGAAGCCAAGATGCTTTAATTTTCAACAGCAAGAAACATAAATGACTTGACTCCAGACCTTGAAAAGCAAATTTTTGATGTTATACCTTACCCCAATAGTCTCTTCATTACCAAATATGAGCCTGAGAATTTTTATTAGTGATTTCTCTGAATTTGGGTTCTTTTTTCTTCAAGTTAAAGAAGAGGTCATACTTTTCTTGGTGTCTTGGAACATATGCTAATTCTTTTCTTTGGGTGGTGGAAGGAGTTGGAGGGTGTTCTTCCACTGCTCCAACCCCCAGGCCTGGAAATGTCAGGCTCCTTTGTCTGTCTTGGGCCATGTTTCACATTAGCCCTCTGTGAAAATCCTGTGCAACACTGGAGTGGCCTCATTTTCTAAGCATGGAACTAAATATCCGTGTTGAGCAAATATTTGAATGAAAAAAGTTTATACAAATTCTTAGGAACACAGAATTTCTTTTTGGTTGCCCCTGAGATCAGGCCTTCAGAATAATTTTTTTTTCAGTTACATTAGGGAAGAGCAAGTGCAATGGTCACATGAACAGTGTGTTAAAGAAACTCATACTCCATGGCCCAACTTTACCTAAAAGCAATCCATGCTTAGAAGGAATTGTTGAGACATCACTGGAGTGCTCCAGAGAGTGTCCACCATATTACCTATGACTAACCTGTTCATAGGATCTCTGGTAGCATAGTGCCTAAGGCACTTGACTGCTCACCAGAAGGCTGGTGGTTCAAACCCACCAGCCACTCCTCAGAAGGAAGGTTGGGCAATCCTACTTCTGTAGTGATACTGCCTCGGAAACCCAAGGAGGGGTCGCTATGAGTCGGGGCCGACTCGACGGCAAACAACAACAACAACAACAAACCTGTTCATGCCCTTGTAGCTCCCTACACTAGAAAGCATTATTAAAATGTCAGGCAGAGACAGCACAATGGTCATGGTGCCAAGCACAATATCTATGGTAGCATCCTTATTTTCTATTCCTGGAGTGGGAAACCACAACAAACAGCATGAGAGTGTAAACAACCTGGAGCAACAGGTCTACAGAGCACTCTGAAAATGGCAACCTGAGCATCCCCCATAGGTCAGTTCAAGTTCCTGGTGGCCTCCATGAGGACCTCTTCCTCTACCACTCTCCCTCCCCCCACTGGATATTTGCAATTTTCAAAACAGTATTTAGACTTGTAAGGCATAATGGACCATGTATTCCTCAGTTAAACATATTTGTCTAGAAAAGATAGACATAAAGGTCTTTATTATTCTTTCCCCAAAGAACTCCCATTCCTTTTCCATGACTGTTGTTCTCCCAAATCTTTACCATAACTTGAACAATAACCATCCCAGGTCCTTGGGGTCCTCCAAGCAGCCTGGATGATGTGCTGTATTAACCACTCTGACATGCTAGGAGATGAAGGTGGTCCTGTCCCATTATGCTACCCCTCCCAAATCCGATCATGGAAGAATTGAGAACTGCTCTACATATTTGTATCAGGTGTGGTCTCCTACTCTCACCAGTACTGCTGCTCTTGTTTTATTGCTAGCACAACTCTGTATGGTCCCTGTGGGCTGATAGGCCCTTCTATAGTGTTGCATCTTAATCATACACCCTGTTGCTATGATTTGTTTTCCCTCTTCATCCTCGTGAACACAGCAATGCCCTAGCAAAATACTATGCACCAACAAGGCCTAAATTAAAATAATAGCAACAACAATCACAAATAAAAAAATGCTTCTGCTCCTATGATAATATTTTCTTGAGATAAATCTTTAAGGGCAAAATAGAAGGCGGCAATGTGATAGCCCATTTTTAACTGCTGCTTTTTACAGGGATGCTTTTCCGTGTTATCTGCACAAATATATATTTACTCGGTTTGGATTGTGAGCAACAATAACCAGCCCTGAAGTTCCCAGAAGGGTTGATCGCCATCCTTCATTCCCTGCAGGGATATCATTTCCTGGCCAGGAAAAACTCTCATCTGGAAGGGAATCCATTCTCTCCTCTCTCTGTTCTTTGTCTGTGCTCCTTTCCTCACTTTGTGCATTTGGATTTCCAGAGTTGACAACTCCAGGAAGGCACTTCCCCGGGTACCAGGGACTCTTCCAGTAATATGCTATTCTGAACAAAATTCAAAACAAAGAGGCCTTAGTCTGTCTACTCCACCCATAGATTCTAGACAGTTGTCTATCTTTTTATTCTGTTAGCCAAGACTTAAGCTGCTAGACATCTTAGCCTTAGTCATTGCTTCTTTTGGAAACAGAAAATAGGACTCTGTTATAGAGCCATCACTTAAGGTACGTGGGGCTAAAGGCAGGATTAAAGGTGACAAAACTCCTTAGTCCTTTGAATTAATAACAAACCAAAACCAAACCCACCACCATTGAGTCAATTCCAACTCAGAGCAACCCCCACTGGGTTTGCAAGGCTGTAAATCTTTATGGAACAAGATTGCCTCACCTTCCTTCTGTGGAGCAGCTGGTGGGATTGAAAATAGGACTCTGGTTTGCAACCAAATGCCTTATCCTCTACACCACCAGAGCTCCTTTGAATCAATAACAGAGACATCCAATTTGGCCTGTTACAGCTATTGTTAAATGCACAGGTTTCTCTTCTCTCATTCTTTGTTTTGTGTACACTTACAAATTCAAAAGGAACTACACACATGCATTAAAGGAAATCTAAACTTTTTTAAGTACCAAAATGAACAGGAAACATTATTCTACCATCTCCATAATCTTTTATAACTTGGATTTTCCTTGCAGGGTCCTTAAGTTTCATCTGATCCAGTGTTTGTTATTTACTCAGTAGCAGAGCAAACCCATGTTCCATCCTAAAGAAACCCGAGCATAAGTTCCAGAATTCTGTTTTACACTCACCTGTCTTCAGTTAGCTCTTGTCCTTAGAGGCAGGTGGGCAGGCAGGATGCTTTATATAGAGTCCCTGTTCTGCTTCCTCTCTTTAAAACTGTTGACCTCATCTTACTGTGAAGAGATTTAGGGCAAAGTTTCATAACTTATAGCTATAATCATAATAATTAGAATTACTTTGAACTTATATAGGGCCTTTCATTCAACAACATCCTGGCAGTTTGAAAACATTAACCAATTAGCTTTTTAACACACCCCGGAAGGCAGATCTTAGTTGTAGGTTCACTTAGATACTTTCAGGTTCAGCATTTGCTTTTATTCTCATCAGTTTCTGGGAATAAGTCTAAGTATGAAAGAAGGCTGGAAGGCAAAAAAGAAAAAAGAAAGAGAGGAAAAAAGAAAGAGAGAGAAAAAGAGGGAAGGAAGAAGGAAGAGTAGGGGAAATAGAGAGAGGAGGAAAGGAGAAAAGGAGAGAAGGGAGAAAAAAAGAAGTGTCTTAATTCTCAAGTGCTGCTGTCACAGAAATACCACACTGGATGGCTTTCACAAATAGCAATTTATTCTCTTCCAGTTAAGAAGGTTAAAATCCAGAGTTCAGAGTGCTGGCTGTAGGGGAAGTTTTTCCCTGCGTCTCTTGTTTCTAGGAGGATCCCAGCACAGGGACGCTGAATCCAAAGGACATGATCTGCTAGTTCCTTTTTCTTGGTGGTCATCCCCCTTCTTTGTCTGTACCAAAGAAGAGTTGATGCTTTTCATATCTTGTGAGACAAAAGGTGTTGCAGGCCATACCCGGAGAAGCTCCCCTAACATGGGATCAGGGCTGTGGTGGGACTGAGGGTGTTGCAACCCAATCTAACCTTAATCCTTTTACACCTTATCAGTTTATCACATCAAATCACATCATGGGGTGTCAGTACTTATCTGCCATGTCACATCATTACATAACTTCTAAACCACTGTGAATCATGGCCCAGCCAAATTGATACAATTTTGGGGGAATGCAATTCAATCCATTACAGGAAGGATGGAAGAAAAATACACAGAGAGAAATCGAGAGAGGAAAGGGACAAAGCAAGAAAGAAAGTGAGAGAGCATAAGAGAAATGAAGCAAGAAAGACATTTAATGTGGAGTGTCAGAAACTTCCATTCTTGGTCTGTGTTTCAGGGAAGCAGAGCCACACCTATGCACAAAGTATTCTTTGCTGCAGACTGCCCAAGGTTTGAATTTCATAACTAAAGAGAGCACCACCCGCACCACACCCTATGCACCTACTCCACTGAATAACTTAATTTGCCCTAAACACAGTACCGCTTTTTGCACCTTCTTATAGGTTTTTCCTTCTGGCTGAAACACCCTCTCCCCTTTTGATAGAAGTTCTTAGGGTTAGGGATTGTGTCTTCTTGTCTTTATAGCCCCAGCATGTAACAT